GTGATTTCGACGACCGTCACCCGAACGTGGGCGACGACGATGGCGCCAGTGGCGATGATCACGGTGACGGAGGAGATAGGCCACGACCTGCACATGGTGACACGATGCGCGCCGACGGGGCAGGGGGCGATCACCGCACAGCAGTAGATGACGCTCGAGATGGAGTGCATGATGATGGTTCACGACCTGTCTCGGGCGGTGACCTGAGGCGCTTGAAACGCGGACCAAGGGAAAAAGACACTATCGCTTCACGTGTGCGCAAACGTCATGGTGAGGACTCTTTCAACGATCACGGCGGCGAGGAGCGAATCGAGCTGCATGGCGGGAGCGGTCATCCACGAGGTGACACTTCGAGTATGCACGCGACAGCTCCGATGGGGCCGTCCGCAGCAGTCCCAGAATCGCAACAGGGTCCAGCACCATTGATGCGTCATCCCGAGGTTCAGGGAGAGATCAGTCCTCTCCCGGCAGTGCGGGACGAGGGTTCTGTCGGTGCACTGCATCCACTCACGTCTGTCGGATCGGCAGTCTCAGTTGCAGCGACCTCGGATGTGGGACAACCACTGGCAGCGGCGGAGCAAGAAAGTATGCTCCCACCTCGCAGTGTTCAACCGCGGCCACCGCCTGCATTGATGGAGGGGAGTCAGGGGACCGTTGTTGTGTGTCAAGGCGACGATCTCCCKGAAYRTGATATCTCACACACTCCCGCAGCCGAGCAGAGCGCCGCAGACCATGTCGGCCTCGCATGCCCCACCGGCAGTCTTCTGACCATGGACTCTGCGCTCGTTTCTCTACGGGACTTGTCGACGTTGATATCCCCAGGTCTACCCCATGTGTCACCGCCCAAGCCACAACAGCCTGTTGTCATGGAGCGTGGATCGGACGGGTTTGACGTGGCAGGAGGCGATATCGCCGATATGATTACGAGCCCAATGGTGTCTGCCACGCCCACAATTTTTCGTGTTGGCAAACTACGCGAGGTGGCCCTTGGTTTGGCGGAGACGGCGACGCGACACCGCGCGCGACGGTCAGCGCAACATCTCACAACGCAGTCTTTCTCATTCGTTTGACGGCGCAGAGGAAGGGTCTCATGGTGGGCCAGTTGACACACTCGAAAGAGAAGCAAGACCCCCAAGTCCGCCGTCAAACTCAGAGCATCATCCGATTGCCGCGGTTGTCGGCCGTCGCAAACAGTGGCGCGGACGCAACAGAACAGCTTGTGGTTGGGTCATCGGCGACAACACGGCGCAACAGAGCCACTGTTTTGCTGACAGTGGCATTCTATGCCAGCGGGAAGAGTACTGGGGGGATGGATGAGCAGGGAGTCCGGAATGTTGGCAGGCCATCTGCACCGTCTATGGGGAAACGATCCATTGGGAGTGCGGATGGTGCTCGGCACACCGCCATGGCAGAGTTTGAGGACCGACACGGGAATGCTTTGCCGACGAAGACGTCTGATGTCCATGCTACGAGAGCCGCAAAGGCGAGTCTTTCTCGGGCAAGGAAGAAGGCCTCGGCAAGGAAGGCGTTACG